AWWAYTAGAGAGGATTGACTGGTGAAAATGTTCCTCATATACTAGTGCTAAGCAGCAGTAAACAGATGAAAAAGCCCTCCAGCTATTTTTACTGAGACTAAGGATGGTGGAAGATGATCTATTGACATGCTGCAGACTCCTCTACTACTAAATATGCCCCCCCCCCTCCTGCTGGTTCCTATAGTTTGTAGTAGTAGTAGTACTACCATTTTGTACTGGGTTCTGCATTAATTCTTGTTGGGGAATAGTTCCTACCAAAGGAAACTATGCTGGCAACCTTAGTGTTGGCAATGATACTACTAGCTACAGCAACAAGGCCCTGCATCAAATTGCTACAAAAGCATACATTTCAACAGTTTACTTTGTTTCAATGCATTCATTCARCTGTCTTACTAGATAAATATTGAGCATTTTCATATGGAATGATTTGCCATGTCCCAAACAAGTTAACTCCTAACATGAACAATAAATTAAAATCCTGGGGAAGAAAGTATGCCAAATGTTTTTTAAACACAAATTAACTTGCTAAATATCATTGGTGCATCATGCCACGGCATGAATGAACACATGGAGCAATTGTAGTACCAAGATTCTGACAACTCTCACACGCTACCATCTGCATTTCTGATCACTCCAGGGGAAACAAGACAGACATGAATATAATAATTTGTCTCTAAGGAATTGATGCCGCAAATCATGTGGCAATGGTTAAAAAATGCATACGATGACAACAGCCCCAACAATTTTTGAATAGAATCTCTTTTATTAGTGAAAACAAACTTCCAGCGGATCAATGATAGTGGCTCATGGATATTGGTTCAACTTTCCAGTAGTGATATATTCACTATGCCATGAAAATTGATCAATGTTATATGATCCACTTATTGGATCAATCTGCATCCACATCGGAGGCCATGTAGATCCCTCAACAGCCACCACGTCTAAGTTTGGTATCCCATTATAGCCTGCTTCACTGTTCCAAGTATCGACTCCTAAGTTGCGGTGGAGAAAAATTACTCGCTCTTCGAGACTTTCGACCATCGAATAGAAACCTCTGAAAAAGTAGTCGTTGATCACAATATCTGGATCAGCATGTGCTAATACTACCATGGTTGTATAATTGCCGTAGAAGTTGGCAGCCCTTGATTGGATCCATTGGAGATCTGCTTCATGACGAGCATTCCATTCTTCACTGTTATGAACAATCCCTCCCACCAAATTGATCCCGACAAATAGTACTTCCCTCTGTAAAAATGCAAAGTTTTCACTGTAATCTGGAGTTTGGCGTTGAACTTCCCAAGAGGGCTTCGACCAGTGTTTCGATTCAAAGTCCAATAAGTATTGCTTCCAAAAWCCCAATGCTTCTGTTGGATTTGGACAATCTATTTTTTATTATCATCCCAGTCGATGGAAAGTTAGTTCATACCAATGTTAAGAAATTCTGTACRAGCCAAGTCACAAAAACAAAGCAAAACGTACCATTGTATTCATTATCGCCAGGGACAAAGTAGACCGGAACTGAAGATTGCTGATAATTATTGACGTTGTTGACGAAGGAGTTTTCGACACACGATGTTGCATAGGGTGAGTTAAAATCTCCAAGATGGAAAAGTACWGTATTGCCATCCATATTTGGAAGGGTCTTTAAGCCATTAACGAGGATTTTGCCGTCATCACCATCAAATCGACCACCCATGATATAAAAGTTGATGGTAGATAGAGTAGGGGATTGTGTTACAGCATTCGAAGGTGCGGTTGTGGGAGCTGAGGTCGGGGAGGTGGTAGAAACGTCGAGAACTACTGGAGTATTTGACGATGGCTCCGCGTTCGCAACAACTGCTTTGGTTGGGGGAGTGGATGGCACAYGGATTGGATTCAACGTAGTGGGAATTTGATACTGCTCTGGTGCTTCTGTCTCGAGTGAAACGTAAACTGGAGGGCTTGTGGTGCCTGAGGAACTCTCACTTTCAACTAGAGATGACGGTRCAGTCGATAGTTTTAAACCCACGACAATCAATACAGCAGCACCAATTATCAAAGCTAAACTGGAGATGATAATTAGTTTCAGCCACAACGGAGCTTTGTTTATCCACCGTGGACAGCACCCAGAGGTTTTAGGTATTTCATCTTCGTGTCCTTTTACCTGAACTGGTTGAGAGGTGAAATTCTTTTTCCCTTTCGTTTTTCGTTCTAATGGAGCGGTTTCGTTCTGTTCATCATAACCTCCATATTGTATTCCCGAGTTCTTCTCAACGCGAGACAATTTATTTTCGAGTGCCGATTTTGACGAATTGCCCAATTCCTTGTGGTCCCCMTTTCCGACTATCCTCATATCTCCAATGTACTCAGCATTATTGACATCTCCGCGGTAGGTATATTTGGAAGTCCCGAGACTACTCATATCATCAACATCTCCATAGTCTGGAACAATCAAGGATCTGCCATCCAGCGAGTAAGCGGACCGCTCGCGTTCAATCAATTCGCTGGGAGGAGGAAATTGGTTGTGAGCAGCTTGTGTTTCATTGGCTTCAACATCTTGGACATCTACGGGTGCGTTGACTGTCCCCAATTTTTGTTTGCCATATGCCATTGTTTAGCTGTTTTTTTTAGAACAGAGTTTGTTTCTGTTATTCGAAGTAACGACTTATTGGATGCAGTGGCTTTTGGTATTCAMTCCTAAAGGTATGAACTGTAAACTTGGAACTTTGATACTCAATTATCCCAAGCGACTGTAGTGTACGAACTGTACTGATAATCAAATTTTGCCTTCATTTAAATCATCATGAAACTTGTTCGTTTGGCAAAGCAGAATGTAGAAGAACTAGACAGACTGTACAGTATGTACTGAACATGGGTGCAACCGGGTATGGAATGTCAAGAAAGCCAACGAATAGTAGTACCGTATGCCGTTGATTGTGAGATTTCAAAACTAGAAAAAGTACAGATTTGATTGGAGCAAGTCGTATTTTGAAATTTAATTGGCGCGCAGGCCAGCTCAGATAGTTGTGTAAGATTTGAAGAAACAAAATTGGGAGAAACTGCGTCTGAATGTTGGACCGGGCGATGGTTTAACGCTTGAGTACAAAAAATTATGATTATGATACTAACCATACGTACGCTACCTATGAAATGACACAGTTTTGTCCTGCCGTACGCACTCTAAGTACCGTACCGTACGGACCCCATCCGTACAGTACGCACGTACTGTAGATAACTCTGTTGAGTAAAATATGATGTACTTCGTACGATGTACGATGCTTTTGTATGCGTGGATTTAACGAGAAACTGCGAAAAGGATCGCCGGTACCAGTACCTGGTACCGGTACGTACGATTACGGTAATCGTACGTGCGTCTGAAGTCTGAGTAAGGGTATTGCAGAAGTACAAGTACCATACGTACGTACGCACTGTATCTGAATTCCCGTACTCGTATCTGAAAGTTGCGACAGCACCGATTAGTGTCGAGCACTCGCTATACCATTCCTCATCGTCTCCAAGATACTGCAAGTGTTCACCACAACAAACAATCCCTGAGATGAGGTTGCTATCATTAATCTGTGCACCCGCGGCTATACTGATAGCCAAAAATGTGGTAGCTTTCGCTCCTCGGACATCCAGAATCGGCACAAGCCGTGGCGGAACAGATGTTATTTTTGGAAAGGAGCCGTCTGACTCATCTAGGCTGACCCGAGTGAATGTTTTGTTTGCGCAAGAAGATAATATCAAYTCCATTGATGAATCTGCAACTTCCGATGCTGTTGCAGAAAAATATGGCTTCGATCAAAAGACAACTTCGCAACAGCAAACTGCAATGCCACCAGCGACACAGCAAACACAGTCTGATCGGTTGCGTCGATCTCTCGACGAATCCGCCAAGTTTAAAGTACGGAACGACGCTCGGTTCACCTGGCTTTCAACCCTACTCGTGTCAGGCGTCTATGCGTACGGCTGTTTGGCTCCTGATGGGGAACCTTTTTTGGGATCACTAGGAATTCCAAGTGGAGGGATCGTTGGAGGAGTGGCTGGTGTTTTCTTTAGTCTCATTTCCATTGTCTTATTTTTTGCTCCAGAGTTGTTTGCAAAAAAAAGGTGAACTTCGAAACTTGCTGGGCATTGATAGTGGAACATGATTGGAGCCCTACATCAATTTATCACTAATTCATGGTTGGCATTCAATCCTGTTGGACACTATACGATGGGAGAATATTCTTCGCTTATCCATCGAAGTCACAAAAATGAAATTTGTTGGTTTGAAACAAAGACAAGAAGGAGAAGGTCGTTTCGAGACCCCGATCCTTGAAGATTTGAYAGGTACCAGACACTTACGCTTGACATCTTCGCTGTTGATTGCGGTGTAGAATACAAAGCTTTTCTTCGTCCTACTTTTCTATGCGTGACTACGATTATCTTCGATTGACCATACATAATGCGAATAAGAACGGCGAAATAATCCATTATTCAAGTGGGCAAGATATAACAGTTTCCCTTCGCATTTTTATATTCGCTTTGGCAGTACCGTAGGAATCAAGAACCGTTCGATTTTACCTCCACACATCAAAAAACACATTTAACGAACCGCGTGCTATATACTACTGACTGGCTCATTCGTCACCCCATAATTAGGTAGGAGCAACCAATACGGAATCTTTCAATGATTAAAGTAAACCATTGATGTTCACTAGTMGAAAAAAGTAAGAGGCGWCAAAGGTCMGAACCTCACGCAGAGCAATCATGTTTTACAATGCTCAGCGCAAGTAGCGGACTAAGACTCCCTTTGGAAGTGCCAAGAATCTCGCTACAAATTTAATGTGATGGTGGTCGTCACGGGTAGTTGATGAGAATTTAATCAAGTTTTCATTGAGTTTTGCTGAAAGAAAACAAGAAGCTCATTTGGTCTTCTATTAAAAACCATCATCTGGGATTTGCACTGTTATACCATCGAAATTTTCTTGTACGGGGATCTGGCATCCCAACCTTGACGTTTCCGTTACCTCAAAAGCCAAATCCAACATGTCATCTTCTTCGTCTTCTTTTTCCGGGAGAGTATCATATATTTCGGGATCGAATATCAAATGACAAGTACTGCAGGCTAGCTCACCTCCGCATGCTCCCTCCAACTCGATATCATTCTCGTGTGCAACAGTCATCAAATCTGTCCCGACTTCGGCATCCACAGTGGTGGAGGTCCCATCCGGGTCGACGTAGGTTATTGCGACAGTTTTTGCAGCTGGTGGAGAAGACGTATAAGGTCTCTTTGCGGTCCTATGGCCGCCTGTCGTAATTACCCCGTACCGATACCTCTCTGTGAATGTTGATGATGAGAGGAGACAAAGCTGTGGGGCCCAACTGGCCCGTTGTATTGAAAGCTTAGAAATCTTCGTCGCTACCGATCGGATCATTTGACTCGGTATGATGTGATGCGTATGAAAATAGAGAGAGACAGCAGTGTTTCGGCCGTTCGGAAATACAATGGTAATTAATGTACTGAATCGCTTTCTCAGTTGGCGGTTCCACCTTGCTTTATCCAATCGAAGTGCTATTGAGATCGAAACAGATTGTTCGATGTGTTTTAAAGCTTGCTGACCGACAAAAGTGATGGCGAACTTCAAACCAGTTCTCTTTTTTACTTCGTGTCCCGTGAGCCAAACGAACAAAACGTGAACCCTTCCCCTTGTTTTACCCTTCAGTACCCGTGTGAGTAAGTGCGAGTAGTAAGTCGTAGCGTGCCGTACGTACTGAATGTCTCGTAGTGACGTACAACCGAGGCGGCGCCGGGGTATCCCTAATCCCTACGGGATACCGTGGGGGTAGTATTCCGTATTTCTTGAATTGATTTGGGTGGTGGTTTCGTCATCATTAGTGAACCGTGAGTCCAGTCCCGGGTATGAACTTGTACATACTGTAGTGTACAAGGCCAGAATTCCAGTTCCACTTTTACCCCTGGCCATAGGTACGTACGTACAAGTACAACGTACTCGTGGTAAGCTGTCCTCGAACTCGGCTCCGTCACGAAGCAATGGTACGTACAAGTACTTGGTACAGTACTCGTAGAAAGTACTGCGGTACTCCATTAGTCTTAAAATGACCACCCGACTCGCAAATCCTTAGCCGTTATGATTTCTGCCCGTTGGTGTTTCCACGGTTTGGATTAGCTCACATTTTTTCTACTGAAAACGAATGTGCCTCCATCATCGATA